GTTTTTGAGCAGGATACAGGATAAGCCCAGAATTCTGATTACAAAGTTTTGCAGAGCTCGACTTTTCGTTCCCAAGTCACGGCGTCGAATTCTTTTTTGTTTACTTTTTTTATACCACACTTTCGCCCCTTTTCATGTTCATGTTCATGTTTTAGAGTGTATAACTTCAGTGGAAATTATGTAATGAAATCTTTGTATTTTAGGAATACATGTACGCACTTTGAACGAGCTTGTACGGCTCTTAGACTTAACGTATCTAAATAAAGTATTGTATTTTATTGTATTGTATTGGTTACTTCGTTTCTATGCACCGACCAGAATTTCCAGTTATTGAATCCAGTTTTCTCAGTCACTAAGATTGCCCATGTTCTTTAATATACGCGGTTTATACTCAGTATTCGTGATAGATTATGCTTGAACGCTATGTGAACTGAAAACTTACGAACTTTTCTCTGTGATTTGTGAATACTACAACGCTTGCCTTGTTTCTGCAGTCGCGTTAGAAGTTGGATCCAAGAACTTGGCATTGTTACATGTTTACTTCTCTCGTGATTCTCACATTATAACTGCCATTAGTAGAAAACGCTACTTTGCTGGCGTGCTACCAACAACTTGATAGTTTAAGCCTTCAGTATGTACTTGTATACCGTCATCACATTAGCTTTGGAAAGGTCATAGGTAACCGTTAAATCCTCTTTCAACTGTAAGACATCAAATTTTCTTGGCCCTCTTTAGAATTTCGTATTATGTTTTCACACAAACGCCGCCAAAATAACTTTGATAAGTACATTTTGTTAAGCCGCTGGTGTGAAAATCTTTCTCGAAAGATAAACACAAGATTTTAAGAACTGTCTGCAATCGCTTTTTTTTTGGTAGGGGTTCTTAATCCGTAGAAACTAAGTAATTAGGAAAATAAAGTCAGGCTTACGTTTGGAAGTAATATTACATTTTCAGTGGGTTAGTCGGGATAACAACATAGACCAAGTTGAACACAACTTATGAAGCACGTAACAATCTTTGAAAACGATTTTATTGTATGAAGTATGAATTACTAAAAGCGACTAACCAGAAGAAATTTGTAATGTTAATTGTTCGTTAATCAAAACTTATCTAAACCAGCGGGCTCTTATGTCTGAGAGGCGGGGGAGGACATAAAAGCTTTCTTTCCTGAAGAAACAGGATCATATATACTGTTTTGTATACCTTGTTTTCTGGGGGCGTTTCAGATAAAAGCTGGGAAGAACGCAAAACGACAGGGTTTGAGTGAACAAAAATTTTACGCACCCTCGCGTCTCAGTTAATATATGACGCCGAAATTCCAAGCTATTTAGCGTGAAAAGTGAAAGATATGCCAGGCTTTCGACAAAATTGAACTGAATAACGTATAGTCCATCAGTTCCATTATTACTTTGATAAAGAAACCTGACTCCACTTTAAAACTCTTCACATAAACTCCTCCATGTCGGTTCGCTCTGCATGTCTGTCGGTGTTTTCGGAACGAAAAAGGACAGTTTCATATTCTTCTCGTTACACAAAGAGCCGCCGTTGTAACAATGCAATCATAAAAATACCACTAACATTCCAGTCTGGCGACAGGCTGAAATGGAACATATGAAGTATTACAGTACACAATTATATCTCCACATAAAATTATCAGCTTCACTTCTTCCTTGAAGTGTGTTAAATTTATGGTCCAATTGAAATTACAATCAAGAGAATGGAGACGTAAAGAATGGAAAAATTGAATAAAATAAATACTAGAGAAACAAATTGTAAGCTGCGAAAATGTTGGTTGTGTTTGCAAGTCGCTTGACTGAGGTCTCACCGAAGTCATGCTTTCGCCCTAATTTTATCACTATCATTTGCTGTTAACTTGACCCGGGGTTGAATTTCCGATATCTTGACCTTTTAATTTCTTCGTTTTCTATTTTTGCCTTGATATAAGACATGTGCACATATAAAATGCTTTGCTGTTACCGACAAATTTATTCAAACTGTCACAAAATTGATTTCATTCAGTCTACTCGACAAAGTCCTGTTCACGAGTTTAGCCTTGTACCTCTCTTGTGCGCTAGAAATTAATGAACGAGTTTTAGTTGCATAAATCGGAAAATAAACAATCCATCGTTTTTGGAGAAACCTAAATTGTATTAATTTTCATAGACTTTTTCTGCAGTGAACATATCAATTACACAAGATCCATTCCGAAAGATGGCTTTATCCAAGGTACTTTGTTTTCGTATGACTATCGCATAAGACATACACAAGGTACATTTACGAATTGTCCCGTTACTGAGATCAAACCTGCGGTCCCGGGAGAACTCGAAACAAATTGGACTGGAAACTACCAGTTTTCTCGTTTGAGACGAGCAAATTCTAAAACAGGTATTAACCAATGTTTTCAAAATTTTTGATCAGACTCGTGCTGTTATTATTTTTTAATCTGGTCGAATAGCTTGAAACATCCCGGAAAAACTAAATGGTGGACATTTTGACTAAATTTTGAGTGCCACAGTGCTAAAATTTACTCTCGATCTTTTTGCTCAACGCCAAGATGAAGCCATTTAGAGAACTGTTGAGGAAAAACAAATTATGATTAATTTCCAGGCACCAAGACAAAATTAGAAAAAGTCTGTCAACCTTTCCCAATTTACATGTCTTCTTGTGTACACATAACTCATTGAAACATCCCTTTTATAGCTTTATATGGCACTGAATTCTGAGCGAACCTTATCCCTCATTTTTAGGTTTTCATCAGAGAAACTATCGCATGTACAATGCTAAGTCAGCAAATTTTGGATGAAACATTTTATATCAGGGCCCAATAGTCCGAAGGGCCTCCTCTGTACCGGCCGTGGGAAGTTAGTCGATGAAAAAAAAGAGAAAAAAACGAGAAGTGAGATGAGATGAGAGATGATCAAAGAACAAGATAGTTCAATTGAGAAGTTAACAGTTGTTAACGATGCCCAAACTGCCAGAATTATACTCACACTAAATTAAAAATAATTCAAAACTGAAGGATAGACAGTATGTATTAGATAGAATTATCGAGAATTATAAAATGACATTAGCGAAAAACTGAGACCGCAATGCTAAGCCGAGACTGACTCGAAAAAGTGTGGTTTCTTTTGTGACCAGAAGTACAATGTAGAAAAAGAGAAATAATTACATTTAAAAGGCAGGATGTAGAGATTAAGAGATTTGTGGCTGAATGCAGCCTCCAGCTAAAATAGTAAGTGGCTGCCATGACGTTAAAAGGAAACCGCAAGACGACTTCTATTGTGTCAGTTTTCCTTTCTAAACGCAGGAATAAACCAAGTGTTGAAAAGGAAACTTATTTATGTTCTCTCTGTTTAGACTGCACGATTTCTTTTTGTGAACGCCACGTGAAGGTGTCTAACGAACGACTTCATGGCTTACTGGTCGACAGAAATTACGCCACCGCAGAACTTAACTATAAAAGGGAAAATTGATAAATTTATTCACAATCAGACGAGATGTATTCAACCGCGTCTATTTATGTATCTTTGATCTTGATTTGTATCCATTTTGAACAGTCTATATGGTAAAACACACACACACAATATATATCCAGGAGTTCTTATCTCAACGGATTTGCCCAAATGCGCTTTTTATCTGGGAACAAAACACTTCGCACCAATTATATATGCGTAAAAGGTCCACGAGTAGAATCAACATGTTAAATGTAAACCAACAATAGGCCTATCAAAAATCCAAACCTGCTCTTTTTATCGAATCGCCTCGGGCTAAAGATCTTTGAAAGGCTAAGGAGTGACATCGGAGGGCCTGTGAAAAGAATAAACATCTCAGAAAAACAAATAAACACAAATTTGAGCCTTGGAATTCATCATAAGAAACTATTAATCCAGAACATTTCGATTTTAGAGCATTGCGGTGGGGGAAATTTTAGATCTTAGTTTCAAAGCTGATATTTCTAAGCAAATGGTTACTTTTGAGGCGTTCTTTGTCAGGATCTGTTCATAAATGGCAGTTAAAAATGTGGAGGTTTGTTATCGGCTTGTCTGCATTCCTCGTTTATCGTATGGCTTCATTACATCTTCCATCATACGCCATCAACATCTTTGCGGCGAAGACGTTAATCCTATCCCAAATCGAAAACCAATTTTAGACGCATTTACGCTCACAATTCTGACAGGTTGTCACTTATTAATCGAAAAGGTAAAGATTCGTTTGTCGCGCGATCATGTCACCTTCTAAATCCAAGGCTGTGAAATGTCACGAAAGTTGCACTCGATGAATATTCACCGCCGCGAGATAATATTCTCATTCACATGTCATCTTCGCTCGATTTCTTACCGCGTTACTTGGATATCTTGACAAGGAGCCAACAGGTATGGCCAACTTGTCTTGAATTGACAGGAAAAACTCGAGACGCGTCCGCGTTCACGGCAAACACACTCTAATTCTGACTTGTCTGGGAATTTTTGAAGTGCCTCGAATGCAAAGGTTGCAAAAAGCAGGAATTGCGGTTTTATATTACTTTCTCGATTCCAAAGGTTTGGAGTGAAATTTCGAGGACGATAAACGTTCGCGTGCGATCGAAATTATTCGCCTGCAATCGACAACGCTCGCTTGTCGATTTCCTTTAAAGCTAACACGTTAAACTTCCTCTAATCCACATTAAAGAAAGTACAGTTTGAATTCTGAATAAAGCAGACAATGCAAAACAAACAAGAGTCTAGGTCATTTTTTCACCCTTCTGAGCTGTCACAACATCCTGATTTTATCCATTATCCCGATTACAGCTCACAAACCCAAAACAAACTGAGTGGGTTTCTTTACAACATTAAGCGTCACACGTCGTGTTGAATACGCGGCGCTGATTGGCTGATTTCGCTCGCAACAATTTCCCGCTAATTGGCCGTTTGATGTGATTGGTCGTTGAATGGCTCAGTTTGAGAGGCGCATCTTGCGATCATTTCTATAACACTAACCATGCACCGTTTGATATTCTTTAGACTGGAAAGTACTCGGCATAGTCCATGCAGTTCTTGATCTGCTCCCGACAAGATGCTCGTGCTCTTTAGCACACTGTGGCTCGCCTGTGCTGTTCTCAGAGGCCAAGGTACGCTAGCATAGTGCGATTTCGTGATTATTTTCAACAATATTTCTCGTCTCTCCGTGTGTTTGATCATTCATCCACAATCACGGGTGCGCGCTTCACAGGGTTTCTTGTCAGCTTGTTCGCCTTTCGCATCGCCTCATCTCGCTTCCAAGTCGGCGCTTTTGTGAACAGGTCGTTCTGTTGGTTTTAGGTCGTTAGAATTAATCAGCGTTTGTGGATTTAACAGAAGAAATAATTAAGACAACCACGCGAATTCGAATAAATCTTCTCGTATTGAATTGAATGTAAATTTCCGGTGGCTAGAATTTGGGCTGCGGGTTAGTCGGGATTTACGTCAAATATACGGCCTCGGCCGTCACAGTTCGTTAGTAGAAATCTTTGCAAGGCTTTTACGACTGTAATGCTTCCGTTGTTTTATCTTCCAGCCATCAGTTGCTGTGGAAATGTTGGTGAATTCAGTGCTTGCAAACATCGCTGTAATGAGGTAATGTTCATGCTACATACGATCTCTTTTATCTTGCCCGGCGGGACATTGAAGTCCAGTGAAACTGGAAAGGAACGTTGCATTGTCATTAACTTAATGCACGATTACTTCATCTGGATCGCTTTCAAAGCAGCGAGTGCGAAATTTCGCTGTACATTGTCAGTGCGAACCTATTCACACGTACGCAAGTTTATTTTAGACCGTAGGCGAATTGAATTCAAATGCCTCTTCGCTAACATCTGTGTATGTTGTTTTGATTCTTTCTTGTCAGTTGGAGTCCGAGACAGACGTAAGTTTACGGTATCAGAAGCTACGCGAACTTCCAAAACACTGCCCCGGCCATTTGGTGAGTAAAATTTCACATTTGTTCGGTATATTTGAACCAGAGCTTTTGTGGCTTTGTGCGAGTGTCTCGGCATAATTAAGCTGCAATGCCCTGAAGAAATGGCAAACATAACCGGCTATTTCGCCGCCCAGAACACTAATACCATTTATTGTAATCCTCTTCTTTCAGATTTCTTTTTGGCGCTGCCTTAATGCTTCGAATCCAGGTGAGTAGTTCGCAGGAATAAGTAGCGGTATCTCCTTGTATTGTCAATGTAATTTCCACTAATAACTTCTGCAAATAAAGGCCTTGCTTCGTATAATAGGCCAATTAGCTTCGGTCTGAGTTTCGTCGCCTCTGCCAAAAACGCTAAGAGACGCATAATTTTATAAGCTTTGTGTACTTTACAAGTTCACAGACTTAACTGTCGTTTGCGCTTTAAGCTAAACGAGGTGAGAATTACTTTTCAAGGGAATTAAGTCTGCAAAGGTCGCGCCATTAGGCTCGATGCGCTGGTGAGTGGTTATCCATGCGTTCAGAATTTATCAAAGTTATGCTGGGTTTAACGGCTTCATGTTCTCCTCTCATCTATTGTCAGTGAAACAGGGTTTCATTCATTTGGATATGACGGATTATTTCGAAATGGTTCAAGCTAAATCCCACGTGTTAAAAGTGCGTTTTGCCTTATCATTGACTCGCTGTTAATCGCAACCTTTTAACATGGCATCATCTTCGATGCAAAGCGAGCTTAATGGAAAATTAATTGGGCTGTTTTATTGTTTTTTCCTTCGATGGTTATTTTTTTCGCTTCCTCTGGGACCATCGAGCGTTCAAAAGGGATTGCATGATTGTATGTGAGGCATGTTAGCGTTCACTGGCATCGCTCTTGAAAGGGCAAATTAATTTCTTTCTCAAAGACAGAAAAACGTCACTCTCAATTTTTTTGTGCCGATCGGGTTGAAGCAAATGGCTCTGGTTTTGGATTTTTTTGATAACACAAAGTGTGTTTTTAGTCTCCGCCAGAGGCGAAAATGAATTATTTATCTTAATCAACAAAAAAATGGACATTTGCACTCTTTCGAGAAAGCGTTCTCGTCGATTATGATTTTTTTTGTGTGTTTCGTGCGTCTGTTTAATGTCGCCCGATCGTGTGCATTCTTTTAAAAGTTGTACTCTATCTGTTTTCGCAAGATTCCCCCACTGAGCTGTTTGGCAGCGATCTTTTGTTCCAGAAAAGAAAAGAAATTATGCGTTTTAATAGGGTGCTAATATTCTTTTTCTAATGTCCTTACATGACAAACATGCTTAAAGCTAAGCATTTACTTCTGATCTCGGAAGTATCCGCGTATCATAGGCCGATCTTTTTGTTCTTGTTCGTAAGTAAGTGTATTTTTGGGAAGGTAGTGTTTTTCGTCGCCTCCTCTAAAGGAATTAGGCTTAGTTTAACCACTTTAAGTTGTCAGATTATAACATAGCAATGATGTGGGGTGTTGCATTTGTAAATAAGGTTGCCGCAAAGAAATGGCTCATTTGGCGTGAGGAATGAAGAGGAATGCGTTTTTACCATTTATCAGGTTTCACATCAACGCTTTGCCAGATAATATCGCCAGTATTATTTTTCAGAGCACAGATCAAAACAGAGATTTGCTGTAAACCGAAAAATGGAAAATCGAAAGTATTGCAAAAAATAACTATTAGTTTATGTATGAGTATGGCTGTAGCTAGATTTCTTTTCTGCGTCGTGTTGATTTAGGCTCTTCGCGTGAGAAGCCCTCTCCATTTATTTGGCGTTTGATGTTTCAAACGTTCTTTGTAATGCAGTTCCCATGTCTTGATGTTTGATTCTTGTTAAGGTCTTTTGGAAAAAACGAAACAAAATATTTATAACTCTCTTTTTCTTGTTCAATGTTTGTAATTAATGCACAACTTGCATATGTTAAGGTTTTCCTCTACATAAATTAATTTTGGCTAATGTATCTGCCATTTTATAGGAGCATTTTTGCTTGAAACACGAAACTATGACGTGCGAAGACAAATTTCAGTGTACATTAGTTGTGTGCAGATTAGAAATCTGATCATTTTTTTTTTTGCAGAGCTCTTTGTCTCTTAGGCTTTTAAAAAACCATTAGCGACATTAGGGTATTAGCCCACATGAGCTTTTAAGTGGTAAAAAAATTAACATCCAGTGATTCATAGTCTGCTGCAAAATCTACTTGAAATTAAAAAGAGAATCTTTGGTGATTAATTCAATTTTGAGTTGGAAGGATTGGGTTAGTTCTGCACAAAAGAAATTACATGTAGTATACAGTAGAGTTAATTCAAATCACATTATCTCTTTATTTCTCAACATAGACTTAAGTCAAAGGCTTTCGATTACAAGCTGTGGTGTGCCACTATTGTGATAAATCCTCATCCCTTCACTTAAAAAGCCTTCAAATCAGAAAAAAAAAACAAAACAGATTTACTAGGTGTTTTGAACTAGCAGCCCAACACAGAAGTATTGCTTAATAGCTTTCATTTGAATGGCCACACACTAGGGTTTTATCCACATAATATTAGCTAGAAGATTCTGTTTAATGTTGCAAAAGATGAAGGTTTTCGTTTCAAAGATCAGAAGCAATTTATGGTCTCAGAATTCTAGTTTTTTGGGAATAATACATGTAACACCTTTGTCTCGTTTTCAATCTGTCCTTTGCAACAAAATGAAGGTACCCTTTTAGAGACCTCTCCTGCCATCCTATTCTTAAATGTCTCACATTATCTTATAACCAAATATCTAAAATTATTGCTGTAATTCATTGCCATTATAAATTCACGAGCGAAAAAAGATAATTAGGTGATTCAAAATTCTTTATTTACCTTACAAGACCTGTGTGGGTTGTAATTTGATTTCGTACATGTATATACGTTTGAAGAATGTTCCAGAAACTTTAAAATTGCTCACTTTTGAACTTTATAAGCTAAGAGGTATTGTGTTGATTGACACTACAAAGTAACACCTCTGTTTTTGAAGAGAGAAAACACGACTGATTTTCTTCTTGTCCTAATGCAATTTTTGTTTGGCAGATTAATGTTTCTTGTATAATGCAAGCTTCAGTACAGTCTTTTTATGCCAAGTTGAACAGATGTAGTTTTTGGTCTTTAAGAGATCTCCATTACTGACAAGATAACAAGCATATAAAAGTAAATCAGAATGTCACAAAAGGGAAGCATTTTGTGAACTTTGCAGCCTTCATTATTTTGTATTTGGCTGATATTCAACAGCCACAAAGTCTTTTCTGAAAGGAATGATAATACTTTATATGACTTATGCTTGTGATGTTTTTCTTCCTCTTGGTCATGTCTACTGGTTTTGACTCAAACAAATTCAGACTTGTCCTAATAGTTTACAGCTTTGAATGGTTGAGCTTGCTTGTTCTTTTGACAGCCTGGAAAGTTTTGTAATGTCTAACTGTAATTCTCTCATCCGTCTTTTCACAAGTGTTCAAGTGGTATTGTTAATTATTGCTTTTTCATGCAAGGAACTCGAAAAACCATTTTGGTCTAAGTCTTTGATTTTGTGTACATGTTGTTTAAGTCCTAAATTATTCTAATGAGAGTGTTGAGTTTCTAAATCATGTGGTATTCTTGAACATTTTGCATTTTCTGTTTGTCATTCAGAAGTGTTGGTCATTATCATTTCATGTATTTTTGGTTTACTAAAGGTGTGAAAGGTAGATTGAATAACTCCATTATCTTCCATTCCAGCTTTTCTTAAAACTTGGTTGAAACCAATTTATTTCTGTGGTACACACATTTCTAATTGTATTGTTATGATATACAAAATTGTATGCAAAAAAAATTATTTGGGCCTAATTCTTACAAACTATTTTTCTTATAATTTAAAAATATATAATACCCAGTGAATTTGATTGAATGCAATATTTGTGGTTAGTGAATGTTTACAAAGGGAAGTTTACTCTGTCGGAAGAGAAAATGAGGTTGTTAAATGCATTAAAACACTGTGTTTGTTAACACCGAACCTCTGTTGTTCATGATTGAAACAATTTTTGTATGTTAAATGTATGGTAAATTTAGTGTCATTTAGAATAGACAGTTAACATGTAGGCAACTGCATAGTGATGTTTGATTTTTCTTTGATATGTACAGCTGTATGCTTTAATGGCTATTTTTAAATCTTACTTGATTATTTCTTAGCAGTGAAGTGTGACAGTTGCTGTGCCTCGTTGTTTGTCTTAATAGATCTACAGCAGTAGCTGTGTTTGAAGAGTTTAAAATTTTTGAAATATTGGCTTGCTGTTTCAATTGTTCTAGAATGCAAAAAGCAATTTACAGAGTGGGGTGGTGAATGCTTTTGACAGCTTTGTGTTAGGTTGTCAAACCAATCTAGTTTACCATCAGTCATGCTAAAATCAACAATGTTGATTTTGCCGTCTACTTTTGTCTTAGTAATTAGTTGGTGGAATAATTTACATATGTGTGGCAGCGTGTTTTTAGTGATGCTTGTGGTGTATTTAGGTCTTGCATTCTTTTGTTCAGTTGAAAAAATTGGTTCAGTAATAAATGTGCCCATTATGTGAAAGGGTATTCCATTAAACAAAACATTTGTAATTATTTCATGCTCTTTTGTTGTACTTTGTATTAATGTTTCAAAGTCCAAATGACCTCTCGCTGTTGGTAAATGGGTGTTACAAAAACGTTTTCCTCTTTGTCTTATGATGGTCAAAAGAACAGCTAGCCTCTGAAGGCAGCTCTGTGGGAATAATGTGTTTAACAATTAACTTGCAGGAGGCCTTGTTATGTTATCAAAATAACTCCATTTATGTTGAGGAAATTGTTTTGCTTCCTGTGTCTGCATTCATTGCAGAAAGGAACAATGTAAATGAGTTGCGTTAAGGGTGTGAATGGCGGTCTTAAACCATTTAAAGCTCCTAGTGGTTTTCCATTACGTTAATTGGTTTTTTTTTTTGGTATTGGTTGAAAAAAAAGGGGAAGAAGGAAACAATAAGCTGTCTACAGAATGTTTATGCCTGGACTTTTTATTCGAAAAAATCAGTTTTGAAGAAAGTAATGCTTGAACTTTATGTGCAAGTCAATGTTCAATTCTTATTGAGTGTAACAAAGCTTCTGTTAAATATACTTGCTCTGTACTTTTCAATTATTATTGCTTCTAGAATCCAAGAGAAAGTATCCATTCCATAACAAGTTTAGTCCTTGGATATGTGACAATGTTTGTTCAGTTTGTTTTCCTTATCTTTCTATAATTGGCATGCTAGCATGTACCACTTAAGGCCACGTGATTTCCATGAGGGGATTAAGCTGTTCTCTTGTTGTATCCTTTCACTATTTTTCCTTCCAAGGGATTTTGGACGATCATACTTAGCTCTTTGTGTATAGAGAGGAACTATTGGAAGTTTTACATGAAAGATTGTGAAAAAAATTGTTTTCTGTATAATGCTTTGAAAACATGTAAGTGCATAATAGCTTTGCTTATGGTGTTCCTTGTAATAATCATTGTCGAGCAGAGCAGTCTGGTGATCTAAGAAGAAAGAATATGAACTGCGGTGTAAGAGGGTCTTTTTGATGCACCTCCAGTTTAACACTGAAAAAATGTGAGACAATCACAAAATGTTAATTTCTGGTGACATGATAAATTATTCAGCATTTTCTTGAGTGGTCTTCAATTGAATCTGTACCTCAGGCAGAATGTGTCAGAGTTTGATTTATGGCTGCATGAACTGGCTCGTTAAGACTTTACGCAGCCCCAGGTGGTCTTCTATAATTAATATACAGCAAGTATCTATTTGGAGTATTCTATAGTTTCATTTCTTTTAATGCTTTTATTCTAAATTAGTAGCCTTTTTTAAGAGTGAAGATATATTAAATGGGGATAGCACTGCTTCAAATTATGAAACTTGTATCGTGAACATTTCTTCAATGACATTTTGGAAACTAGACTTTAGGTCAGGATCAGATTGTTTGCTAAAGGATATTGTGCAGTTCCAAAAATATTCATACTCCTCCCACGGAAGGGATTGGAGCTTCCTGGGGGGGGGCTCTGTAAGGCCAAAAAATTTAAAGAAATGTGTGAAACTTGTTTGGAATTCCCAGAGGGGGGTATGGATATTTTGTGGAGCTACACATTCTTGTTGTGTGGTGGTATGTTAAGTTATCAGCAAGCTTTGAAAGAATATAGAATTGTCTTGATTACATACCTGTGCACTGAAAATATCAATCTTCACCCCAGCTCATCCTTATGGACCAATTTCTTATGTGATCCCTTTAAGTCTGGCTGAATTGTGTGGTCAAAAATGTTATACAATCGAACCCCTATTAAGCAGCCACCTATTTAACGGCCACCCCTATTAGGTGGCCAGTAATCAAACTCCCGATAAGGTTTTTTCTATTGTTTCTACCTCTATTAAGCAGCCAGCCCCTTCGGCCACTATTCGTTTCCCCGAGGGTGGCTGCTTAATAAGGGTTGAACTGTATTATACGTGTAATTCCTTTTATTTTGCAGTAATTAGCCCATATATCGGAACAAACCCATCCAACTTTGCAAGGACCTGTTGTCTTCTTCCTTCATCGCTGAAATGCCGCCAAGCATGTCGCAAAGGAAGACCAGAGGACTTGAGGAAAAACTGCTCAGAAGTAGAAGAGGTACAGTCATACTAAAGATAATTAATTTAATCAGTCTATAATGCATGCTAACTTTTCTTTGGTAAGTTTCTTTATTCAAAAACTGCAAATCACTCAATGTCAAGGAAAACTTGTGCATTAATTTGGCCAGGTCTTGGCTAACAAAAGGATTTCTCCCTTGTACTGTCCTGGAAAAATCATGGACAACTTATCAATATTCACTAGTAGTAATCAGAGATTATGAGAGTGCGTTCGACGCACTCACTTTAATATATAATTATATATCGTAAATAAATGATTTCAATAGCTGACTTTCAACCTTTGTCTATTGCTAAAATCAACATTTTTCAGCAGCAACCGAGGTTTTACAGTCAGATATGCATAGTGTCAAAGTCCATGCTAGTGAAGAGGTCACGATTTGTTGATACGTTGCGTGACGCTGCCAGTTTCTGTAGTCTCTCAAGCTTCATAGAATATTTAAATTACGTACATTATTCTAAGCTAGCATTTGC